TAACGTGTCCCACACTGCATATTGGACTGTGATTTATTGCCTGTTCTTTAAGTTCTCTTGCTGAAAGGAACTGACCTAAAAAGAAAACAAAACTCTTTTTTACATTAATTTATAGTCATTTGTTATTCATCCTAAATAAAATGAGAAGAATTTCACATGTATTCCCATCAATAATAACATCCCATATTTTATAGGAAGGCTTATAAGAGTCTTACAACATTTTTTTCAATTTGATAACGGCCATTGCAAAATAACTTGCTTCTGAATATAATGATTTGATTTACATAATTTTTTTCTGTTATTCTGTATCTCTCAAGAAATCATCACTTAAAAGCAACAAACTTAATCCCAATTCTTTTAATAATTATTTTCCCATTTGTAAGAACAATTAAGGTACAAAAGTCTTTGGTTTATTATAGCCCCTAAGGATGTGATATAAGTCTGCTCTATCCGCATTAGATCTAAAGAATATAGGTGGCCCAGCTGGATAGAGTCTGTGAAGTTTTTATTTTATTTTTTTTATCAGAATATGTGTGATTTTACAGATTTATCTTTCTTTGTCTTGTATTTTTGAAAAATTCTTGGATGTAAGGATTTTTTCTGTGATGCTAGGATGTTCTTAAAAGTACTCACTCTCTACATAGATGCTATACATTGCAAACATTAAAAAAATCTTAATATATATGAGAAAGTTGTATCTTTGTTTATATTTTTTTGGCAAAGTAGTCGCCATGTTGCAGTACTCTAAGCAGTGATGTCACAGGATTGGTTCACTCTGTAAATTCCAGTATAATATATTGATAATACCAGTGATACTTCATAACTGTAAAAAACTGTAAAACACAATTTGGTATAATGAAAGGCAAAGTTAAAAGGACAGTCAAGCCTCTAAGGTTCATTGCTTATGCTTTTGAGCCCATTCGCCATGTCACTCAATGGGGGAAGGAGAGAGAAGGCAGCTGTGGAGACGGTGTTCTGACTATCACTGCTATTACGATCCACCCTACCCTGTGGCAATGCGCATTTGCAAAATGATCGCGGGTTGGAGAGAGACAACACTATCTGGACAAGCAGGAATAGGAGCTGAGCATGGAGGATAAAAACAATGGAAGTCAAAGATTTCATATCATTCAGTTGAAAAGATTTATATGATGTTATGTATGAATAAGTACCTAGGGGAAAGTACTCTTTCCCAGAAGCAGCGCTTATTTCTACAGATGAGCTAAAGTCCATATTATCTTAACCTTCTCATGATTCTTCCCTTTTGGTTTTTTTAAGTTTTCTTTTTGAGTTTTCAGTTAAACTTTTATTTAAGTCATTCACTGCGTTCTAAGTCATTGCTTTCATTTCCATTTTTGCGTCATTCTAGTTGTTCTGGTTATTTTTGCGCACTTATGTATTTCTTGGTTATTCCCATTTGCCCCCTTGTGCCAGTCTCTTTTCCCCTAGCTACCTTCTAGATCCTTCTGTTTACATCTGCTCCCACTCAGTTTATTACCTCCTTCTTTATTCTGTTCGGCATATACACTCATCCTCTGTAGTTACTGTTATCTTCCACCACTGGTCAGCCTAATGTCACCGTAACCTCTCCAGTAAAACAGATCAGATTCCCCTGTGCTCCTCATACTATTTACCTTCATCTCTGTTACCATCTTTAGGGGTGAAACTTGCTCCATCCATCCATTGTTTCTGTCACACTTATCCCAAGTGGGGCTGTGCCTATCTCCAGCTATCTATGAGCAAGAGGTGGGGTACACCCTGGACAGGTCAGCAGTCCATCGTAGGGCAACACAGAGACAAACAGGACAAACAACCAATCACGCACACACACCAGAATTTAGAGAAGCCATTTAACATAAATGTCATATTTTTGGACAGTGGGAGGAAGCCGGTGTACCCGGAGAGAACCCATGCATGCCCAGGGAGAACATGCAAACTCCATGCAGAAAGACACCGGACCGGGAATGGAACCCGGGACCTTCTTGCGGCAAGGTGGCAGTGCTACCCACTGCGCCACTGAGCAGACCATGAGCCGCTTGCTCCAAGTACAAGAAAATTAAAACAAATTTCCCCGACCACATCTCAGGCAGGCAAAGCTCATTATGTCCCTTATGTCTCAAGCTGTGCCGCATCTTAATGGGTCTCAAGCCGCGGTGCCTCTTCATGGGTCTCGGGCTGCACCGCCTCATTGCTGTTCCCAGGCTGCGTCACCTCATCGGGGGTCTCGGGCTGTGCCGCTTCTCCTATGCGGCCCCAGAGCTTCCTGCTACTTGACACTGGCCTCGAGAGGCCCTTTGTCGTTGCCGGCCTCACAGCCATCCTCCAGAGACTTTGTTCTGATTCCGGTCTAACGGCCTTCCTCCAAAGACTTTGCTCCATCTTCGGCCTCAGGCCTCCAGGGACTCTGTTTCGCTGTTGTCCACCTTTGGTGGGTTGCTGTTTTTGGATTTTGGTTTTGGACTTTTTAGGGTGTCTGGTGTCCACCCCTAAGAAGGGGTATAGTGTCATGATTCTGTAATTTCTCGACTTTTTGGGTTTTTAGTTACACATTGTTTTATGTCATTCTGTGTTTTCTAGGTCGTTGGTTTCATTTCAATTTATGTCATTCTAGTTGTTTTCTAGGTGCATTTGAGCACCTATGTATTTCTTATTTTCTCTCTGTTGCCCCCTTGTGCAAGTCTCCTTTCCCTTAGCTCCCTTCTAGATCCTTCTGTCTACATTATATCTAATTAGTTGATTACCCCATTCTTTGTTCTGTTCAGCATATATACTCCTCCTCCTTGGAGGCAAAACAGTTTAATCTGTCAGATGGCGTCAGATTAAATTACCCTCTGAGTTTTTCTGCTAGGAAAATTGTGAATTAGGAATTGTTTATGAAAAGTTCTAATTGGTTGAAGAGGTATACATACCCAAAGACCCTGAGCAGCAAAAGCTAAGGCACTGGGAAGACCCTCCAAGGAAGAAGAAGAGTTTACATGTTTTAATAAGTAGACCATATGACCAAAAAACAACCCAATGTTGCTATACATTACTTTTTCTTTATTTTAAGCACATTTATATGTATACAAAACACTGTTTGTCTTTGCAAAGTCAGACAAAATCTGATGCTCATAAAATATGGTCTTAATGGCTCATGGCTTGATGGCTAGAGTACTGTATATATTCCTGAATGTGATTTGATCTGAATGTTTATCCCAAAGGCATCAGGAAAAAAAAAAACATGCAAATCATGACCTTTGCTGGGATTGCACTAGAGGATTTAGGTAATTGTGCTAGATTAGATTAGATCATGAGTAAACAGTGATGACGTGATGTAATGTGAACATTTATAGGGAGCAGAGCTATTCGGATCTACACTAGTGAAGAAAAACCATAAGACAAGAATGCTTTAATCAAACTCTAAGCTTTTCATAGGTAAATGTTCTTTGTTTCTTTGAATATCTTTTATTCTTTTTATATTAACTTTCAGCTGTGTTTGCATTCAAACTTCTGTGATGACTAATTTGTCCTTTTACCAACAGGTACTTGTTCTAGCTTTTAGAAGTGACCATCATGTTGAATGAATCCCAATCTTTGTCTAACATGACATCTGTTAGTGAGAATCAGGAACTATTCAGATTAATTCTAGTTGGAACCCTATCTACGGTTCCATCTGTTATTTTTCTCTACATTAATGGGACTATTCTGTTCACTCTCAGGAGTAAAGCTGTGTTTCGTGACACAAGTCGGTACATTCTTCTCTACAACCTCCTTTTGACAGACACTCTTCAGCTGGCACAGAGTCAGATACACTTTTTAATTTCTATTTGCAAAGTAAAAATGGCATATTCAATCTGTATTGTCCTGAATTTCCTTGCCAATCTAACAACTGGGATTTCTCCACTAACACTGGTGGTAATGCCTTTAGAGAGATATGTGGCTGTATGTTTCCCACTGAGACATTGTTCCATTATTACCATCAGAAACACAAATGCTATAATCATTGCAATCTGGGCTGTCAGCTCATTAAACAATCTCACTCATGTTTTCTGGTTCTTAAAGTCTTCATCAGAAAAAATGGAGATTTGGAAGCTTAAAGACCTTTGTTCTAACATAGCCTTGGTTATTGGGGCTCTAACTAGTGCATATGACAGAGCCTATACCTCTGTTGTGTTTGTTTCAGCTGGTGTTGCTGCAGCCTTTTCCTATGTTGGTGTCATTAAAGCAGCCAGATCAGCCTCCACAGATAAAGCTTTAGCAAATAAGGCCCGTCACACTCTGCTGCTTAATTTAATTCAACTTGGACTTAGTCTTTCCTCAACAATTTACAACCCACTCATGTTAGCTGTTTCAAAGGTTTTGACAAGAGTGGCATTTTCATGGGTTCGGAATATTTTCTATGTTTGTTTCATAATTTTCCCCAGATGTTTGAGCTCTCTCATCTATGGGCTCAGAGATCAGACCATCAGACCTGTTCTGCTGTATTATTTATGTTGTAGCCCAAAAGTCAGAGGCTAATGTTTTTTTTTTTCCGTTTTCTATCTGAAGAATAACTGTACAGTGTGTAGAATCATCTTAGACAATTGGTTTATTGCAGCCAAAAGACAAAGGGTACTGTTACTATATATTTTTGTCGTGACTAATTAAAATTTAAAACTGAGAATACAGTTTATTGGGAATACAAGAGCATAATAATTTGTTATTGTCATTAACAGCGATCTTAGTTCTATTACAGAGTCTCAGCTTTATGGGGAAGTTCTACTGTGTTAAAAGCTTTTTTAACAGATGGGGGAATTATTCACAGTTTTTTTTTTTTTCGATGAATTAGAAATTGCCTAAAAATGAAGTTTACAGTTTAAATGAAATCACTACTTGCTTAATGTATTGCTGCTATACATTTTAAGTGTATTTTATTCATATTGTGGCTATTTCTTTGTAAAATATGTGACCAACCTTGCCTTCTCAAAGCTAAATAAAAATATTTCTCACATCCCAACATCATTATTTGTAGAATTTAGTTTACTTTGATGATTTTGGAATCAGTAATGGGGTTTGAATATAAAACAATGTTAAATGATACAGTTCACTAATGCAACTGGTGCATCTAACTATCACTTGCAGTATATTTGTTATATTTTTAGAAATTAAGCATTTTCTTAATCACTATTTTCTATACCACGTGAGAATTACACCTGACTGACATCTTAAGTATGTGAGAACAGGAAGATAAGTACATCAGGCCATCAGGACAAGATTGGGTGGTTACCATGGTGGTGCTCTGAAGCAGCGGCCAAGAATGGCTCCTCTTGACAACTTCGAAAATTTCACAAAACATGCCACTTAAAACGATACAAACTAGACATCAAACCCGCATCTATGATCGCCAATGCCTGCTGGAGCTACGGTCACAAAATGTTTTAAATCCAGACATTTTTGACCGTTTAAAAAGCTGCGGAGTGCTATGGACGGATGTAAACAAAACAACAGCCAAACATAACAGACAGAGAAAGAGAGGCGCGAGACTAAGAAAGCGAGGCTGCAGAGGGGGGCTAACTGCAAAGCTAAAGAGAAATCCCTACAGACCATCAACCCTGCTCTCCAACGTCCGCTGGTTGGAAAACAAAATGGAGAATCTCGGACTGGAACTGACTTCAAAAAAGGAAATATCCCTCTGCCTGCTCCATCTCACTGCCACACTTGTATGTCTCCCACTCCAATTTTATTTTGGATTTTAGACACTTCCATCTACAACATTTTCACAACACAAATCTATGTAGGGCATTGTCTGGGGGGTAGGGGTCAAGGCCACCGGGGGGGCTTATTTCGACATCTGACACCTGACATCGTGTTTCATACTGTTCACTTTCTATCTGCCTAGAGAGTTCAGTGTGGTTAGCGTCACTGCTGTTTATGCGCCTCCCAACGCTAATGGAAAAGAGGCCATGAAGACTCTATACCAGGCTCTGAGCTCCAATCTGCACACAGAGGGTGTTTTCAGCATTGCTGGAGATTTTAACCAGACTAAATTGAAGACTGCCCTCCCTCATTTCTACCAACATGTGGACTTTGCAACTTGGGGTAAAAACATTTTAGACCTGGTTTACCTTAACATCAATTCCTGCATTCAGAGCAGCCCCCCACCCCGACCTCGGTTCATCAGATCACCTATCTTTATGCTTATCCCATCATATAAGCCCCAGCTAATCAGGGCTAAACTGACAGTTAAAGAGGTCCAAGTGTGCTCTGACGGCTCCATGGAGACACTCCAGACTGTTTTGAATGCTCTGACTGGAACAACTTCAAGGCTGCAGCAACATATGACAACATAAATATTGAGGCCAAATGACTGCATCCCCAGGTTCACCACCAATAACATCGTGAAGTTTGCAGAAGACACCACAGTGGTGGGCCTCATCATTGATAACAAAGACCAGAACTACAGAGAGGAGGTGGAGCAGCTGGTGGACTGGTGCAAAGATAACAGCCTGATTCTGAACATGGAGAAGACAAAGGAGATCATCTTGGACTTCAGGAAGAACCGACCTTACCACGCTCCACTGGTCATCAACAGCTCAGCTGTAGAGGTGGTCAGCAGCACGAAATTCCGGGGGGTAAACTTCACAGACACCCTCGCCTGGAATGTAAACACCACCTCACTGGCCAATAGGGCACAGAAGCGCATTTACTTCTTGCGGAGGATGAGGAAAGCCCACCTGCCCCCATCATCCTCACCACCTTCTACAGAAGCACCATAGAGAGCGTTGTGACCAGCTGTCTCACTGGGTGGTGTGGAGGCTGCAGCGTCTCAGACTTGAAGAAGGTGAGGAGAGTAGTAAGAACAGCAGAGAAGATCATCGGGGCTCCTCTTCCCTCCATTAAAGACATTTCATCACTGCTCTTCGTGTCCTGAGCCCATAACATCATAAATGAGCCCTCACACCCCCACCATGGACTGTTCTCCCTGCTGCTCTCTGGGAAGAGGCTTCGAAGCATCCGATGCAGGTCCATCAGATTCAGTAACAGTTTCCTCCCCCACTGCCATCAGACTGCTGAATGTTTTGTAAAATGGGTTATTGTATTTTATTATATTTATTATATTTTATCATTATAAAAAAAATAATAAAACCCCTGAATTGTTAGAACTGTAAATTTACAGCTATTTGTTTATATTACTGTTTTTATATATTTTTTACTATTTTTCATGGCTGCAGTTTAAAAAATGAAATTGTCTAGAGAGTTGTTCTAAATTTCTTTTTGTTTTACACTTGGGTATACAAAATGACAAATGGAATCTGTCTAAGTCTAAAAATGTCAAACAAATGACATGAAAAATCAGCAGTTATCTTGCTATGTGAAATAGGCCTCAGTCTCTTTCGTTTCTTCTTACTTACCTTTGCAAAAAACACTATTTCTGGTCTAATTTGTAGAAGTTTTAACTTTTTTTTTTTTTTTATTATAGCACACAAAAAACAGCCAAATTCCTGCAATAGTAACTTAGGCCAGTCCATTACATTGTGTCAAATGATAGTGTTCAAAAGCAGAAATGTAGATAATTAATGACAGATGAAGCTGCTGTAGGGTTAGCTCAAAGATGACGATGACCATGTAGCTTCATGAACACAAAGTTTGTGTGACTTTTTCGGAACCAAAAACAAACTTTTGCCACTATATAGAACAAAAGTAAACGAGCACCATCCATTACAAAACTCATGTAGAATCAATAAAATTGTTCTGCCGCTGAAAGTCATTATACTGAGCTCTGTAGTCTGAAAGTTTGCATACATAGCTGTTAAAGGAACATGGATAGCTAAATTTTTAAAAAACCCCATAGACCAGGCATGCCTAGGGTCAAACCTTGAGGTCCACTGTCCTGCAGGTTTTAGAGGCTTCCCTGCTACAGTACAGGTGCTTTTCATTGATAGCTGCTAAACAAGTTTTTGCTGAACAGCAATAATCAGAATCAGCTGTGCTAAAGCAGGAAAGCCTCTAAAAACCCCAGGACAAAGGCCAGCGAGGACTGACTTTGGGGCTGCAACCAGACGGTGTCTAACTACAACGCTCAGCTGGAAAGTACTTGATTTTAGAAACAAGTAATAATACCAAACTGTTTGGAACATTATACTGAGCTTAAATGTGATAACTGGCAGCGACACACTGCTCAGAGCAGCCCTTTGTTACAGACACACCCTCTACTGCACTAAGATGTATGCAATGAGTGTCTAATGAAGAAGAAACTGCTCTAGACATCAAAATAGGCTTTTTATTTTTTATTTTGGTAAAGCTAGAGATTAACTTATGAGATGACACCATAGCCATGTGGGAAATTAAGGCATTTGTCATGAGAAATGTAGATATAAGTACTATTGTAAGTACTATATCGTCACATTGCCCCTTTTATCTTCTCTTTCTGCCTGGCATTTATCAGGAAAATTGTGGATGTTAGTGTCCTTTATGTTTTTTATGTAGACAACAAGGCAAACATTCAGTTTAAAATACCTTTTGGTAAATATTTATTAAGGCACATTGATATTTTTTGCCTCTGATTTTAACTAATATATGTCATTAGTATAAGATAAGATCAGATACATTATTGGTCTCCCATGGGGGAAACCTGTCCTGGAAGAGAGGAAAATAATTCGACACACCATACTCCAAAACAGAATCAGTAGCAAAAAATAAATAAGCAAAATATTAGCACAAAAAAAAAACATATACATATAACAGCAAAAATTTGATGATTGTTTATGATTTATTTCACAAAGCACCCCAAAATCAACAAAATGTTAAATCATCATATCAACTGGAGTAGCAGTCTGCAGCTCAAAGTTGCACAGTAAATATAAACTCCTGTCCTGGAGATTTCATTTTACCATTCCCCCCTCCACCACACTGTAAGGCTGGAGACTTGGTGGGTTTGTTCCTGCAGCTTAAAGCTCAGGGAGGCTGGCCACGACTAAGCAGTCTTTCAGCCGTAACCGCTCAACTGAACAAAATGACTGGCCAGGACATAAAGTTATGATTAAAGGTTATTGATCTCACATTGTAGAAATTTACCTCCTTACTTAACCAATTCCCTTGTGGAGCAGTGGGCTACCGGGGAAGAATTTAAGGGTTTAGGGTCTTTCTTGGAGAGCCGGAATGGCAGTGGTTTTCTAACTCACAACCTCAGGATTCCAAGCTCAATGCCCTAACCGTTATGCTGCCACTCCGCTCCAAAACCAGGTGCTAACTTGGTCGATCAACATGTGACGACTTAACAAAACTCCTCATCCTTTGTATCAGAATGGGCTTAGTAAAATGGGCTTAATAGCAGGCTGTGCTGAATTTTCAGCTCCGAGTAGATGCGTTGGCAGTGCTTGTGAAAAACACGGTGTCATCAAGGACATGGTACTGTGAAGATTCATCACTGTATCCCAGATATTGAACTGCCGGCAGGTGGTTTTCAGCCACATAGACCTGTTGCTCTGACATCCCTCATCAGATGAGATCGAGACTTCAGTTGGTTCACTTTAGCAAAC